ACCAATCATGAAATGGACAAATATGTTGAAAGAATCTCCAAAAAAAAAAAAATTCACCGAAGCCAAACGCAGTCTCTCATAATGCTAGCCACTGATGCTGATGAGCTCCTGGAACACTAACCTAGCAGAGGAAGCCTGTACTACAAGGGGCCCACCCTCCAAAAAATAATTCCATTTTCTTTTCTTTTTTTTTTTGAGGGGGGACTTTCCTTGTATATAGATTGGGTAAAACTTACCAAATATTATAATAATATTTTCATTGCTAAATCAGTAAGGACATTTGTTTAATTTCTCATTCAATGAAAATGGATACACATTAGTAAAGATGTGATCTCCTTCTGCTCAGAAAAGGGAAAAAACCTATTTGGACAGGAAAAGGATAAAATATTAAAGATGTCAAAATGTACTTATCTCTGTATGTATCCTGCTGCCTAAAAGAACCTTCCAATTAGTAAGCACATAAAATTTGTAGAACAAACGCATAGTGAAGATCAGCTAAGGCATTACATACCATAACCACTTTCCTCCTTCCCCTTTCCCCTTTCAAAAAGAAAAAGAAAAAAAAAGATTCTTGGCTTTAGGACAAACATTGCTGAGTAAGGCACCTGGCTTGGTGTTAGCACTGGAAGACTTGACTTCCTTTTATTAATTCTGATGTCTGGCATTTCAGAGAAACAGAGACTGACAGACTAACAGGAACACGAGTGCAGTACTAAGGAAAGGTTTTCATCAAAGGAGTTAGATTTGAGATAATATTCAGGGATTGGAGGATCTGGGGAAAAAATTGCTTTTAGTGACCTGTGTTAGGTGAACTTGCACGATTGTCTTTAACCTCACCAGATTTCAAACAAAGTAACCTTTAAACATGGAAGACTTCAAATGAACTTAAATTGCTCTAAATGCATACCATTGGCAATACCTGGACTGGTCAATCAATTCCTTTTGCTATGCCATAGTTCTGTTTATTTCAGAGCATATGCAGGACTTGGCCCTAGAGCTCTGCTGCCTAATCATAGTTAAATCACTCTTTCTCATGTTTAATTACATTAATGACAAAGATTATTAAAGGATGTTTACACTATATTTGTGCCTGAATCTGGGTAATCTATTGCTTAATTGCTTATGAGTTTAATAGTCAAGGAGAAAAAGAAAAAAGTGAGGCTAGACGTGCATATGCCTTAGATATGATATGCACAAGACTCAGAGGATCACTCCTCAATTCTAACGTAATGATATTGATTTTGTCTCACCACCAAGGCTTTATTTAGCATTACACATTACTGTTGGCAATGAGGTTATATAAACCACTCCCAATTCATTTTATAACAATTTTGGGAGGACTATCTGTCTACTGTATAGAAACACCCCATTACAAATAGAAGAGATTATATGTTTAGTTCACAGAAAAACTTCACAAGGAAAAGGTGACAAACTACTTTAAAAATTTTGTTTCATTTCAAATAATGTACCTATTAAAATGTAACTATAAATTATTTATTTGGCTATTACTTGAGAAACTTAGTTATCTGTTTAGATACGAAAGTAAATAAATTTGTTTATCTTATTTACCTAAAATAAGGAACACTAACAGAAATGTAAGTGATTCTATTGGAGAATCATTATCTTGGCTTCTTAAAACAATTCATAATAGTTTGAGAAAAATAAATGATGTTTCAGATCAAGCCATAATTCTGTCCAAAGACCAAAACATAAATATTGAAAAAATATGGCCAGGTGCAGTGACTCAAACCTGTAATCACAGAACTTTGGGAGACAGAAGCAAGAGGACTGCCTGAGCCCAGGGGTTTGAGACCAGCCTGGGCAACTTGGTGAGACCTTGTCTCTACAATAAATTTTAAAAATTAGTCAGACATCATGGTGTGCGCCTGTAGTTCCAGCTTCTTGGAAGCCTAAGGCAGAAGCTTTGCCTAAGCCCAGCAGGCTGAGGCTGCGGTGGCCGTGAGCATGCCACTGCACTCCAGTCTGGGAAACAGAGTGAGACTCCAACTAAGAAAAATAAAATTTTAAAAAATATATATATATAATATATAGAGACAAAAATATGTTAACGTACTCCACTAATATGAGTCTAATGTAGGCTAGTATTTGAAGTCACAGGACTAAAACTGACTTGTTTTAGTTTACAACATTCTTGCAATGTTGTAAGAATATACTTGGATAAGTTGCACTGACTTGGATATACTTGGATAAGAATATACTTGGATAAGTACACATTAGAAAACACCAACTCAAAGTTCTTATTAGGAAGGGTACCATATACATGGGTCATATTGCAAATGGAAACTAAATTTTATCCCCATGATTAGCTAAATTTTCTTCATTAAAAAAAAAGACATTATCTAGATACCAGAATATTCTGAAGTTTTGAAAAAGGTAATCATTAAATGCTTGAAATTGATTTATCAATATAAGTTTTCTCATGTGGTTATGTAACGTATGGTTAAATAAACTTAAAATAACATAATTTATCTCATTTTCCAAATTTATAAAAGGGAAATCAATAATGTTAAAAGCATTTCTATGACAGATGTCTAAATAAACCTATCTTATATTCATTGGAAACTATAAAGTCTCATTTTGTAAGGTTCTATTTGAGACTAAAATAGAATATAAAGATTTGCTAAAATGCAAAACTGTACTTTACCTTTTAATTTTCAGAAACTACAGATTAATCTATGAACATCCACTTTTACAGGGGACAGTTATAACTTGTGGGGTACATATTTAAATATGTCTGTGTATGGGCATTCAGTGTAACTTATGGTATCATAAACAAAATCTTGGCCAGGCACAGTGGTTCACGTCTGTAATCCCAGCACTTTAGAAAGTTGAGATGGGAGGATCACTCGGGGCCAGGAGTTCAAGACTAGCCTGGGCACTGTAGTGAGACACCCATCTCTACAAAAAATTTTAAAAAAATAATTAGCTGAGTGCAGTGGCATGTATCTGTACTCTCAGTTGCTCAGGAAGCTGAGGCAGGAAGATCACTTGAGCCCAGGAGTTTGGGGTTGCAGTGAACTATGATCATGCCACTGCACTCTAGCCTCTAGGTGACAAAGTAAGACTGTTTCAAAAATAAAAGTAAAAATAAACAAACATTCTTTGCCTAGCGGTAAAGCACAGGAGGGGAGTATAACACCACATTGTATTGGCTGTGTAACCTGCAGCAAGTTATTTAACCTGTCTATGCAGTTTCGACTATCAACTGAGGATCATCAGTGTCTACTCTCCCACAGCTCTTTCGGGGTCTTAAACGACATAACACACATTGGTGACTGAACAGCACCCTGGCATGTCGTGACTCTCACTGCATAGATAGATCTATTTATTAAAAGACACCAAGATACTATTAGCCCATTTGAAAATGTAACCTGTTCCCTGAAAGAAAAAACAGAATAAGAACAACAAAAATTTACAAGATTGGAATTGCTGAGCTTTGCAGGTTAGGAGCAAATCGGGAAATTAATCAAATTCATCTCTTCTGTTTCACATTGTAAACAAACTAAAACTCAAGGAAGTCAAAGTGTCTTATTTAAGGTCACAAAGGTAATTTGTGTGAGAGCCGTAAATATTTTAAGAAGCCAATTCCCTCCATGTTGTTCCAGACCAGGATGGGACAAAGCCTACAAGTAAACAAAAAAGGCTGACCGTAGTCATTAGGCTCATAGTAACTAGAGGAAGTCCAATTATAGCATCCCCAAACATCCAAATATTTGGTATGATGAAATCTTCTCTAGCACTAAGAGACATTTATTACTCTAAGATGTAAAATGTACGATCTTGGAAGTGAGGAAAACCGTTCTATGGCTCATTCCACAGTTTATAAAAATCCTGTGTTACATAAAAGGTCTCCACACTGACTTGAACTCCATTACAGACTATTCGGTTTTCATAAATGTAATCCTGGATTCTTAAAACTAGTACCATTTCGTATAGTGTTCCTTTGTAATAACGATTGGGGTCAAGTGAAAAACAAATCCGTAAGTGTAATTTTAATTTTTCTCTGCTTTAAGAGTGCTACTGACAAATATTCAAGTAGAAATCCACAATTCTTATGACAGTATACCCAACTATACGTTTTATTTTTTTTATCTTGAAGCAATGTATTTTTTATGTCAATAATTCTACTCTATCAATTTTCAGATGATACTCCATTTCCATATTTAGGATTGGAGAAGGCACTTGTCCAATATAACACAATCTTGGCCACATGACCAGGAACAGTTATCTCAATCATAGAGGAAAAAAAGTACTATTATGCTCTGTTTATCAAATTGAATATGGCAAGTAATTCTAACTCCAGTAAGAAATCTACTACTTAATAATTACAACTAGAAAGAAGGAATTTAACCTATAAAAACCTTACAATTTGGTATTTTTCCAATTGAGAAATAATGCCTCATTTGCACATTAATACACAGTTCTATTTTACCTTCAGGGCTGACAAGGGATTCTGTATTCAGCTCTGCCTCTGGCTACGTTTGCTGGCCATGTGCCACAGTAAGAAAGGTAATGCACTCCATGAAAATTCAAGACCATGATTAGAAGTAAAAAGTGCACCACAGAATAGCTACCAGATCAAAGTTATTATCTGACACTATTGCCCAATGCTCAACAGAAATTACCAATTTGGAAGCAAAATGTTCTGTAGGACAGTACCAGAATCTTGAGTGAGCCAGGATTTTGTAAAAATTTTCTGGCTCAAATATCTTATTATCAATATAAAGCTTTATGTGTTTTTGAGACTAATGGTTTAAAATTCAGTTTTGCATATTTAAGCTCATTGTATTCTTTCATTAAGACTTAAAGAATAAAAAACCTTACACATTTAATAAGATTTCAAATGTTTTCAATTTAATCACTGGTTTATTTGTACTAGTTCTTAGTAGTTAATCTTCATACCCGCATTTTTATTTCATCAACAATCATCTCAGACACACCTTCTAACAATACTGACTTAAAATATTACGACAGGAAACTATGCCTTCAGGAGCATGTTTATTGTGTTTGAGATGATACATCAGGTGCTCTCTGAGCTACAAAGGGTAAAAGGAAATCCTCTCATTACAAACTGACAAAGGTAAAAGGTAAAACATTTTCACAACAGCATGAACCACATACTCAGAAGTAGATCTGGGTTTAATACAAATGACATAATTCCTAGTCATCTACAGCTACTTTTATAACTTCATACAGATAATGAATTAGGCTAAAATGCACTATAATATTTGGTAGACTTCAGGACCAGTATCCTTAGTACATCACAAATACATTTTGATATCCCTAAGAACCAGACTTGCAAGTAGCGTTTTAAACATAACTAATCTACAGCTACAAAGTTCTACTCTTGATAGCATTTACCTTTTTGGGGAGTCTCCCAGTCTCCAAAGGATAAAAGCAGAGAGTAGAATCAGTATAACATATACACAGAAGTCCGTATTGTAAAGGCTATAAAGATTTGCAGCACAGTGAGAAGATGCCTTCTGCTCCTTCACACTGCATACAAATTATGTGAATTATGTTGCGTATCTCTTGGTCCACTGTCTGGCTATCCTGTCATGTTCTGCTCTGTTGGTCAAATACTGAGTGGCTATGCTTCCAACCAGAGGATCCGCTGAAAAAGTGGAAAGAACGTTAAAAGATATTATGTGGTATCTTCTTAAAGATAGTTCTAATATTCTGTTAAATTGAAACAGCAGCATCCTGATACATAATGGCTAGATTTTTCAAAAGAAAAAATGTTTTAAGTAATATTATAATTTGTATATTTCAATTTTCAAATTAGGAAAGGCCCCTTCACTAAAAAACTAAACATTCAGTTAATAGAGTTGAGTTTTATAGAAGATGTATGCCTTAATATTTAAAAACTATTTCATAGTCTTGGCATTTTATTCAATAATGGAAGTGTGCTAAGTGGTTATATTTCTGTTTTCTTAGAGATATTTTTAAAATGCTAATTTTTAAATAAAACTCCAACCTTTCTATACAATGCTATTCAGAATAAAATGCTTCCTTTATTCTGTGCATAATATGACTCTAATCAATATCAATATCTCCATGTGAAAATTTACTTACCATCTCATTTTAAATATAATTCTGAACTAGAAATTGAATCTGAGATGTAAATGTTTATTTGAGTTTATTTTTCAAAAAGATAAAATATGTACATATGGTACAATATTTGAATTACACCAAACAGCCAGTGAAAAAGTAAAACTCCCCTCTTTCTCAACTCCAAATACTCAGAAATTCTTCTCCCTAGCAAACAATTGTTACCGTTTTACAATATTTCTCTCCAGAGATATTGTATGCGTTGACAAGCATTCAGAGTATTATCATGAATATGTATTTTTTATTTTTTTAACTTAATATTTCTTTAAGGCATTTCACCATCAGTTCAAATAGAGTTGTCGTTCTTTATCATAGCTATATCCTCTATTAATGGGCATTGAGGTTCGTTTCCAATCTTTTGCTTTAATAAATAATACTGCAACAAATATTCCTCTCTCTTTTTCTCTCTATTGTGTAACTGTCGAGCCCAAGGTAACAGTAATAGTGGTTAGCAACTTAATCAAATATTTAGAAAAAGTAAGTCAGCTTTTTAAAAAATGATCACAAAGTAAGATAACATACGTGAAACCCCAAATCTAAGTATTACTTTATCAAGTCAGCTACCTATGCTAAAGTTCTTATGTGGCAGCTAGACATTGTTTAAAGTTATGAATTACACATTAATGACTTTATCTGAGTTTATATAATCATAATCTAGTCCAACTCTCTCATCAGCCATCACTTTAATATCCATTACTACTATATCTAATATAGTCCCAATTTAGTCCAAAAAGGAAGAGAAAACAAAAAGCTCTTCATTAGTAAGTAGCTGCTTTAAACCACACAGGAGAATGGAAGGAGCAAGAAAAGGAGGCACCAATGTTAGAGACAGTGCTTTACTCTTGTCAGAAGTGGTCTGTACAACTACATAATTTAAAAAGTAGAGATTCCATCAATGATGGTGACAAAATAATTATAGAGTGGAATGCCATTAACAAAAACATAGAGAAGCATTTGGGCTAGTCTACCTCAAATGGCATTGACAATTTCCTCACAAACTCTTTCTACCAACAGCATTTATCTCTCAATCCAAATTCAAACCAACCAAGAAAATGCATTGGTTTTTGTGGTCTTATTGTATGTGTTAATGAAGAATTGCTTACCAGGGTTGCAGTCTGTCAAAAGGGAACAGATAGACAGCAAAACCTTTGAAATAGTCAAAGCGGGACTCCAGTTGTCTTTAAGGATGTCCAGACAGATGACTCCCTGACTGTTGATGTTGCAGTGATAGATTCTGGTACGGAAAGTAACCTAAGCAGAGTCACATTAAAAAAAAAACAAAAAAAAAAAAACCAGGAAGAAAATGAATGCTTTATCACCAGCTAAAACACTCACCAAAAAAATGAAGGGTAACATATCAAGTTATTCAGCTACATCTAAATAAATGATACTGTAGTTCTATGATGTGTGTAGTTATATGTATACACACCCACAGTGTGCACATACACATAAAGACAAAAAGTAAGGGAGGATAGAAATGTTTTGGTACCAGCTGGGCTCGGTGGCTCAGTCTGTAATCCCGAGCTTTAGGAGGCTGAGGTGAGTGGATTGCCTGAGCCCGAGGGTTCGAGACCCGCCTGGGCAGCGAGACCTCATCTCTACAATAAATCAAAAAATCAGCTGGGCATGGTAGCGCGCGCCTGTAATTCCGGCTACTGGGAAGGCTGAGGCGGAAGGATCGCCGGAGCCCAGCAGGTCGAGGCTGCGGTGGCCAGGAGCGGCCACTGCACTCCAGTCTGGGTGACAGAGTGAGACTCCAACTTATAAAAAAGAAATGTTTTGGTACCAAGAGTAAGAGGAAATGATGAAGACTTTTCTTTAACATAAAAGTTCTATTTGTTTCTTAGTATAAGAGATCATTAACTCAGTTAGTGTCTTACCACATCAGAAAATACTGATGAAAGATTTAGAAGGTTGGTAAAACCATCTGTACTATCTACCTTTCTGTTTCTTAGTCTCTTACCTTCTACAGCTGGTTCAGTATCCTGATACACCAAAATATTAAAATAAGCAAAGTCTTTAGCTACTGGATAAAGGAAACTGATATATTCCTAAAATGTGTAAGAAAAGAAGATAAATTATAGGAACAAATACTGTCAAGTTTCAAAACAACCACAGACACTGACTGGGTAGTTAATTTACAATCGAAGTTGAGCAGAGAAAAAAAGATTAATTCCCGATCTCTTGGCACTAGCAGTGCACTGTGAGCGCCAAAGTGGAATCTGGGAAGAAAATATTAGAAATTCTTAAAAAAAAACAAAAAGGGGGGGGATGCATTCTGAGGACAAGGGGAACACACCAGGATGGTGGGGAAAGAGGAGAGTGTGCCTTAAGAACTGCTCTGTTCAATACTGCACACACTAGTTACATGTGAATATAGAGTTTAAAGTGTGGCCAATCAAATTGACATGTGCTACAAGTGTAAAATTTCAAAGACTTAGTACCAAAGAGAGAACATAAAATATCTCGTTAACAGTACACTTATCTTGATTACATGTTGAAATGACAATATTTTTGATATACTGGGTTAAATACCATACTATTAAAATTATTTTCAATGTTCCATTTTACTTTTTAAATGTGGCTATTAGAAAATTTAAAATTATACACACAGATTGTATGTGTATTTTTTTTATATTCGTGTTAGTGCTACTCTAGAATATGGGGATATGTTCAGATCACTGACATACAACTACTCAATAGATGTATAACACAATATTTTTAGATAATGATAAATAGTGAACAGAAGAGCATTCATGAAAAGCAAAAGAAAACTGAATTTTTATTATCTTTCAAGAAGCTCAACGTTTTTTCTAAACTTCAAAACAATCAGCACTGTATGGAAATAATTGTTCCTGGCACCAAGATAATACTAGAAATCTTTATCTTTCACTTGTTTAACAAAAGCACTTGATAATGTTTACTACTATGTGAGAGATGCTAGCAAGATAAGTGAACCAACATTTAAAGGGTTAGAAAATTAAAATACTGCAATTTAAGCAAAAATTAACATGCTAAATTTATGAATAACTGTATTATTAATGGAAATTATTTATAAATCATACACAATACTACAGTTTGAAATCTTGTCAATCAATTTTCATTTTCCATGAATAAGCTGCTAAGAAAAACTTGAGTCATTTTCTTCGATTAATTTCCCTCGCATATGAAAATAATTTTGTACAAAATAAATCTTGTTAACTTTTTTTCTAATTTTGTTAGCATGTTAAAATCAACTCCCAGTATAAAAAACTACATGTAGAAAGTATCACTTTAAATATAGTCATGAAGTATTTTGCTAGGTCTTATTTCTTTTTGTATAATATGGAAAACTTAACCACCAAATACAGAATGAGCAGTGATATACTGGCATTTAATATGTGTTATTATGAACAATACAATTTGTGGTGTTATCCATGTGGGGGTTTTATACCGATTTAACTGGTTCAGCAGACTCTACAAACCTGGAGCATTAAAAAAAGATAATTTCAAGATCTTAGATTCTGACGGGAATGTACAATAAAGTATTCTAAAAACTAATAGCTGCAATTGAGAGCACCTTGTTATCTGCAATTTGATGAAGCAGCTTGGTATATGCAATTTGTGGTAAATGCCACTAGGAGGAACTCTTGTTACCTAAGAGATAATTCTACTTCCTCCCCCTACCCCGCCACCCCACAAAATAAAACTTTACTTTGCACGCATATACACACGCAGACTACACAAAGTTTAAATAGTATAAGTTGCTACATAAATTTAAAAACGTATAGAAAACATAAGGAACCACGCTGAGAAGGAAAACATAACATTGTAGTTAAGAGGGCTACAGACTTGATAACACACTTTTCCCTGCAATGTCAGACATTTCTGTGACAAGAGCATTAATTATGCTCACGATTAACTCTGGTGATTTTTACCTATTGGCTTGATCGCTTAAGAGAAGTCAGAAAAGGAAGCCACTTAAGTGATTGTTATGGTTAAGCTGCAAAATAATTGGCAGTGATTACAAGGCAAAACTCACCCCCTTCTATGTTTGTTATCCATCTAATAAATACTTCAAGTGAACTCAGAGTCTACAAAAATGAAGAAGCCACCCAAGTCACCCTCAGTGTCCATTACTATATCACACCCACAGAGGGTACAAAATGAATTTACTAAATATTGCTAGTTTCCCTCTCTTCTGCTCCAGTTTTCCAGTTTTTGCCTATCTATAACGATAAGGTAGGTGGCACAAAATTCACTTCATTAAACCCTTATTTCTGCAATCTGTCAAACAGGTTTAATTTTTATCCCAGGACATTTCTTAATGAAGGTTCATGGGATAATTTCCCTCATACCACAAGTCAAAAATTTATCTGGTTTATGGATGTGCAAAGTACAGTTTTACTTACAAGTAATACTTAACTCTCTCTCTGTTTATTACAAAGTTACTTGTGAAAGGAAGGAGTCAATTATTTTCAATTTTAAAATTACTGATTATGTGAATTTCTATATCAATCCATGAATAACAATGAAATAAAAGTGTCTACATCAATACACACATAAGTTCTAGAAAAACTTTGGGGGAAATAGATAAATATTAAGAAATGCACTTTTAAGTAAGTTCTTACCTTTGGTGGCTTAAATGGATAATCTGATGAAAACGTGATATCCAGAAAAAACACACCACCTTCATATACAGAACCTGGTGGACCAAGTATAGTTGATCTCCACTCATAAATATTATCTCCTTTAGGCCCAGCACTGTTTAAAAGAAAATAGAAATTAACATGTACATTTGTAAGCAACACAGGTTAAAAAACCAAGAAGTATTAAAGGTAAATTAGCCACCTAGAGCAATAAGGGATGAATTAAACATAAAAGAAACAGGTCCCAATTTTTTCACGTATGTGTGTAGAAACTAATTTGAAAATACTTCAAATTTATAAAATCTTTTGTTAGCATTTTGTCCCATTTGCTCCTCTCTCTTTTATACATCCTTTTCTCTACCCTACACAAGCATGCACATACACAGCTGCATAAATCTTGGACTTTTCCCCATAAATAATTCAGTGTACATTTCCTAAAAATAATCTATTACACAGTTACAAGTTCAGCAAATATAGCAATACAAAAACAAAGCTTATTTATTAAAAAATACAAATAAAGTTTAGAACATGCAAATTTTTTATATTAAGGCAAGAAGAAGCCAATGTTTCTCTAAATATTGGTTTATAAAAAATTTCTAACTTATATACTGTCATGCTCCAAAAATATACTTTAAAAAATCAGGTATTTTGGATCACATTTTGATCACAGAAATAAGATAATTTAAATGCTGGTCCACAAATGTTTATTTAACCTCTTCCTCCCTAATATTATACTGAATATTTGCAGTAAAAAAATACTGAAAAGCAGTGTCATATTTTATTTGCTGTGATATCTCGTTAAACAGTTTTAAAATACATAACCCATAGTGCCTTCAGCATGACCAGATGTCTGGTCCCTGAAATTCACACAGTTGGCAGGTGTTAACTACAGTCTCTGATCTTTTCTTACTCTTTTAAATGCACCCTTATGACCAAGGAGAAAAGAGAAGTAAAAATAAGAAAGTCCTGGTTACAAAGAAAGAGAGGCAAAGAAAGAGAATTCCCGGAGACTCAAGATGCTGAAATTGTTTGAAAACAGAGGACAGAGGGAATAGGACTTTGAAAGTGCTGGAAAGGTGTGCCATAGACAGGAGGGAGGTAAACCCTAAATTGTACTCCACATCTTTAAAAAAAAAAAAAAAAAAGCAAGGTAGGAAAGTGACCAGTAAGAACTTCACAGCAGGGGTGGAGTTAGAGGTAGGAGAGACTTGGAACAGCAAAGGCACAAGAAACAGAGCAAAGAACATAAGAAAAGAAATGTACCTAGGTCGTGACAGTAGTAGTCCCTTCAGCAATAGTGATAAGGCCTAGGTCTTGATATGACTAGAAACTTAAAACTAGGAGGGCAAGTGAGAAAGGGTAACTTCTGTGGCATTAGTAGACAAAAAAAGGAAATGGCCAAAGTTGCTGTTGGTATTAAAATACATGAAAATCAGGTTTTCTTATTGGTGACTGCCTTGTAACTTTTAGCACTCAAGCCATTATAGATATTTTTAAAATTCAAAATTTCTAAAAAGCAATTAGCATATATCCTAAACAGTTTGGCTGATAAAGATATTTAAAAGCCATACAGACTCTGAAGTGTTTTAAATTAATTCTTGACATCACCAATATCCTAACTAGTGTTATGTTAAAACTAAGTTTCTATAAGTAATTTCACTGCGAGAATTAGTTATCTTAATAATTATTTTATAATTTAAGCATTACATTTTCCTATAGGATGTAGCTATGTCAAGTACCTTTCTTTTCTACAACCTTAACAGTTAGATAAGATTCAATCAGATTAATACATTAGCTAATCAAATGAGACACTTCAGCACTACCATGTCACAATTAAGTAAAATCCCACAATTTTTACATTATGCCAAATCATATGGAAATACCTTAGTGATTCATAAATATATCTTATGTCTACAGACTCTATACAACATTATTTTATTTGGAAAATGTGTTTTAACTTGAAAACAGATATATGAATACAATCCCCCTAAAAAAGCAGTCTAGAAAACAGAGAACAACACTTATAAAGCTAGTTCATCTACTCACTATAAATACATATTTAAAAAGAAATGTCTACATATAAAAGGTTACTTCATTAGGATGGATTAAGTATAGTAACAGTTGTAAGAATTTTGACACTTCTGCTGCAAAAAGAACACTTCAGAACTGGTATGCTTCATTAAAAAATTCATAACATTGGACATTAAAACCAGTCACCATTAAAATCACTAAAATAAGCAATAACTGTTCCTAATGTTGATACGGCTTTTCCCACAATGGGGATATCCATTTAACACCTTAGTATGAGTATCAGGGGTGGAATGGGATTAGAGAGAGGAGTCCTTAAACTAGACTAATCTTTAGAAAAGACTGGAATGAGTTAAGCAATTGACAAAGTTCATTATAAATTTTTTTCAGGTCAGTAGTATACATTTCAGGGATTAAAGTGGGACTTAATAAATAAGTTCTCTTGAGTTCTAAGAAGAATATTAAAAATAGGAACATTTTCAACCAATTCAACCCAGCATTGGTAATAATAGTGAAAAACAGCAAAAAACCTAAATGTTCACCAATAAGAACAGGTAAATACATACATCAATTAAAATGAATGACATAAATTTTTCAGCAAGAGACAGACCTCAAAAATAAGGTTGAGTGAAAAACAACTAAGTTGTGAGATTAAATATGTAACTGGTTATCATTTATGCAAGTTTTTATTTTTTGAGACAGGGTTGATTTTGTTGCTTAGGCTGGAGTGTAAAGATGAAATCACAGCTCACTACAGCCTTGAGCTCCTGAGCTCAAGTGAATATCCTGCCCTTCCGAGTAGGTGGGACTACAGGTGTGCACGACATCCAGTTAATTTTTCTACTTTTTTGTAGAGACAGGTTCTTACCATGTTGTCCAGGCTGGCTTTGAATTCCTGGCTGCAAGCGGTCCTCCCACCTGAGTCACCCAAAGTGCTGGGATTACAGTCGTGAGCCACTGCACCCGGCTCATTTATGCAAGTTTTTATAACATAAAAAAAATTCCACATACTGTTTATGAATGCATACCTACACAGTAAACAAATGAAAACTTAAACAGAAAACATGGACAAAAAATAAAGACAGTTACTGTCTCTGGGGAAGAAAGAAGGGGAATGAGACTAGAAAAGAAATACAAAGAGACAAACTATTCAAGTTTTATTTCCTTTAAAAAAAGTGTCCAAGCTAATATGCATGTAATGATTATTAAATTATTATTAAAGTCATACTTACTTCTGTACTTTACATTAAAGCAAAAAAGGGGATATCTCAGGGAATGACCACTCTATGACAAGCGCTTTATAGCTCACCTAATTTGATCCTTAGTATTCTGTATTTTTAATCACAGTTTCATAGATGAGAAAATGAAGAGACCAGAAGATTCAGTGACTTGTCTAGAGTCATACATTTATTACTAAATTCTCTTGCAAAATGTCCTCATTACATATTTTTAAGCAATAAATCCATATAAATATTTTTAATTACCCAGATCATGTCAAATGTTAACAGATTCAGAAATAAAGATATCTGATGGCCTATTGAGGTTGACTCTGTAATTGCTTCTACTAGTAAATACTTCTTTAAATAGCATATTAAATGCGTCATATAATTTGGATTATTAACATTTTTTGTTCCTTTTCATGTTGTTTAAGTGTCTAGTATAAATGTCCCTCCACAACTTTAGGAATTATATTTTAAGCCTGTGGAACAAAACAGTAGGTGACAAGATGAGTTTTAGAGTCTTTTATGTTTATCACCTAGGATTTGGGGGTAAGAGGAAACACAATTAAAATGATATTAAATTCAATTTGAAAAGAGCAGAAAAGAAAATCTGTAAGGCATCACCTTCAAAACAAATTATTCATGTGCATAAAAAACCTATACTAGTGTGTAACTCCTTTCTGAAACACCTTCAATAACTGTCAAGAAATACTAATCAGAGTACTATCCTATAAGGTGGATGCTTTTCCTAAGATTTGCATTAAGCAGATTCTGATTCTTCAAGTGTTTGAACCATCCCTTACCAGCTTAACATCTATTACATAAACTACTACAAAATGATTGTGTAATCTCCTGGCCCTTTGTGAATTATTGTGATATCTGAAAGTATGGTTTTTGAGACCTAGTTTTCTTTTCATATATTGAGAATGTGGCATATAAATCTATTCCTTCTTTCTGTCCAGTCCTGGCAACCTTACCACATCGTCTGCAGAGAAAGAAGCAGTATTTATTTTCATGGTCTTTTGTTTAAAGAGATTAGATTGAACACACTCCTTAAGTGGCTCTATGTGTCTGAGAGAGTGATATATGTATACATAAATAAATTCAGTCTACATAACCATCTTCATGAAAGAATTAATGACTATTTCTGGCAGTCAGGTGTATAAAAAAAAACTGATGAGCTCAAATATTTAAGGCAACTGCCTAAAGACTTCTAACTACACAGATAATGGAATAATGGTTTCTTGTTCCAGTAATTACCATAGTCTTCTTCAAAACTGCTAGTTTAAAGCTTGTGTTTTGTCTATCTTAAGGCCTATTATGACATTCATCATCCAAATGCAGTCAAGCCTATTGTGTATAACCATGAGAAATACTTTATAAGAGAATAAGAATTCTGGTACAGATTTATCTTTGCAAAGTACTACTTACTTATATATAAACACAGGTGAAAACATTTCTACAAATGTAATTATACACAAAGTGAAATAATTGTTTTTTAAAATCCAAGGTCAGTCAGCAAAACAACATTAGGAACTACTATGCACCAAGCACTAGTACTAGAAGGACAAATCATAAGGATAGTGAAATTAAACATCAGCATCTATAAGTATATTGTCTACAGCTAATACTGTGTCACAATCTCACATTTAACCCCTTGTTTTTTTATATTCAGATTCATGGTGAAGTATAATACCACTGGATATAACTAAGACACACTCAAAAAGCTGCTTCGCCTGGAAGATTGTTGACTTCTCTTACTAAGGGAAATATCAAGAATACCTTTCTCCTTAGCCTTCTCTAGTCTCTTGGCTGGAGCCTCTAGAAATGTGACTGTTCTCCTGGTTTCTCTCCTAAAGCTAGAGTG